CACGTCCTGTTTCGGCAATTTTCGCGAAATTTTTCACAAACCACCTATAATAGGCACATAAACCAAAAAATCGGCGTACCTCCTTCTTGACTTTTGGCTTGGGAAACAGCCCCACGGCCACAGTCTTCTTCGGGTCCGGGCCAATACCTTGAGCGCTGATTACATGACCAAGGAAACGAAGCTTCTCGAATCCAAACTGGCATTTTTCCGGTTTAATCGTCAAATCAGCTGACTGGATAGCCTGAAGTACGGAACGTAGTCGCTCTACATGCTGTTCAAACGTTGCTGAAAACACGACAACGTCGTCCAGGTAGACTAAGCACGACTGCCATTTGAGGCCTGAAAGGACGCTGTCAGTCATGCGCTGGAATGTTGCAGGCGCACAACAGAGGCCGAAGGGGAGTGCTTTAAACTCATATAGACCATCCGGGGTTACGAAAGCAGTCTTTTCACGGTCCCTTTCGTCCACTTCAATTTGCCAATAACCGTTTTTTAAATCCAATGAAGAGAAATACCTTGCGTGCCGTAGCCGATCCAACGTATCATCAATACGCGGCAAAGGGTAGACATCCCGCTTGGTGACGCTGTTCAGCTTTCTGCAATCAACGCAGAAGTGCGAATACACGGGGTGATGCTATGAGGGGTATTTATTATTTCGCACTATTATATTTATTAATCACACTATGGTGCCTTTATGGTGTAATGGTTCCTGGGAATCGCAATTTGATCACACGGGGGAGTTTACGTTAACTCACTGGCGAATGCCAACGGATTTTAACTTTACTCCCCCTCACGACCCACTCTCGACGGGAGACTGAGAGAGAAGGCGGGCGCGCGAGAGAGAGGGGTGCGGGCGCAGCTGCAGCGAGTGAGGAGAGCGGAGGAGCGAGCGAAGGGGGAGGGGGTATAAGGCGCGTTACTGACACCGATATCAGCGTCGCGTCCGTGGCTTATTCGGTAGAGCGTCGCGCTGCGGCCCGCCAAGTCCTCTTTCTTTTAAAGATAGAGAGAAGACTGCGGACGCCGCCGACGGCGGTGGATGGTTTGGGGTCGCTTACAAAGTGTATTCACACTTAAAACAGTACATTTTTTTTCCGCTAGTTAGATCTCTTCAGGTCACAGATAACTGCAAATAAATAAGTTAATAATAATAAATTCAGTGCGCTACGCTGACAGTTTTGGTAGAGCAGATAGCGTTCTTGCCAGATATAGTAATTTTGAATACTTACAGCCAACAAGTCAGCATGAACTACAACTGTTCTGCCGTTCTTCTACGATGCCATAGGTCGTATTTTATTAGCAGAGGTCACATAACATTAGGCTTGAGGGTCATTCCTGTACCTTTTCTTTTGTGACCTTATGTTGCATTATTTTTAGTACCTAATACCGGTCCAGATTTGAATAGCGAAGTGTTCATTTTCCTCTTCTGCTCCTTTTTTTCCTCCTCTCATTGCTTACACCAAATCAGGGAATTGACCGAGTAGTACATGAAATTTTTGTAGTATATTACTCGCATAAGTTACTACTAAAAAGTAATGAATTTAAGTATAAAATATTAGTAATGAACTAATTAAAGAATCAAGAATTTAGCTAGATATTCTTTTATAGATACTGATGAATTTCTCAATGGTAAATAAAACATCTCTGTTACTGTAGCCCAGAGTAAAGGAACCAAAACGAAGAATAACCTACGCTGATACTTTCAGACCCACAAAATTCGAAGAGGTGGTCTTTTCGTCAATGCCGTGAACCAACGAGAAGATAGGATGAAGAGGTGCCTCTATTCTTGAGAAACTGTCAATGCAGGGTCTGATAAGCTTTTTCTGAATGTCAGTGTGCGGAAGCTTGCGATTGTGATGTAGGCTGTAAGCGAGAAAACCCAAATGATTACACCAAATGCGTCTAAAGAATCGGCTCTTTTATTCAACAACAAACTTTTGTGGCCCGATGCTCAAAATAAATGAATACATTGAAGGTCTCCGGGAACTAGTATATTAAAGAGCTGTAGTAGAAGCATTCCACCTGATGTGTTGAGAAGAAAGTGCACAGAAGTAATGAGTCAGTGATAATTGCAATTACTGTAATTGAACTATTTATATCATTTGTATATTTAATACTAGGGCCGTAAATTCTGCTATAACGATGATCTCTTATCTCATTGCCTAATTGGCTTTAGGCCAGGCCTATCTGCGCAGGATGCTATGAAAATCATTAAGACTCAAACTTTAGATAATCATACCAGAGACACAAGGGCAATCCTTGGCTTGGATATAAAAAAAGCGTTTTATAATGTCCATAATGATTCTATTTTGGATGCGATCTCTAGTTTCAACCTAGGTTCCTCATTTCATGCGTTTGTCAGATCTTTCCTGAGTGGTTGAAAAACCATATTTAAAGTTGGAGATCTAGAATTGGATGCGCAAGTGCTGGGAAATAGGGGCACCCTGCAGGGATCTGTTCTATCACCTTTACTTTTTAACATCGTCATGGCTGGTCTCTCGAGGCAGCTTTCTGGAATTTCAGATGTTGGCCACAATTTATGCCGATGTTATCACCATTTGGTGTAGAGGAGAAAGTTATGGCACTGTAGAGGCTGCCCTGCAAGAGGCCATCGACACAACTGGGAGTTTTCTGGAGAACACAGGCCTTTCCTGCTCTCCGGAAAAGTCTGAGCTTCTCCTTTATAACCCAGTCAGGAAGGGCCGTTGACCGCGAGGCTGGGTGCCGCCCCTAAGGGGAGACATCCACCTGCGTACCAAAAGTGGATGATCAATCCCCAAAGTCGCTTCCATTCGGATCTTAGGTATGATGCTAGAAGCAACGGGCACCAATAACATCACAATTCAAAGGTTGGCAAAAAAGATAGACAGTGTTATTATGCTCATAAGGCGGGTGGCTAATCAAAGGGCAGGACTATCGGAGGACAACTGGGTCAGGCTTATACATGCTTTTCTGCTGTGTCATTTTGCATATGTGGCAGCAATGCATGTTTAGAAGAGACTGGAAAAGAACAAGCTTAATGCAAAGATAAGGAGAGCAGAAAATAATGCCCTTGGGCTCCTCAGCTACACCCACACTGATCGTCTCCTGCAGTTGGGAATTATGACATAATGCATTGGAAGAAATCGCGGAAGCACGAGGAAGAGCACAGGTAATTGGGCTGTCTGTCTCAAAAGCGGAGGGGATGATTCTCGCAGATATGGGTATTCCACCAGCTCGGATTGAGGCTCTGTACCAAAGGTTGACGAGGAATCAGAAGGAGAACATCATTGTCGCGCCTGCTCCGCGGAACATGCATCCACAACGAAATGTTGGAAGGAGGAGAGCACGTGCTCGGGCCCTTCTCCGCCAAGTAGCGGATCTCGACGGTGTGCCTGTTTCGTAGACGCGGTGCAATATGATGACCAGAGCGACCAATTCAGGGTAGTAGCAATCAACCACAAAGGGGTGACAATTATAGCGGCGTCGGTATGCATCGAAACTGCCTATGCGGCCGTGTAGGTTGCCATTGCCTTGGCTCTTTTAGATTAGCGTCATGAACATATATGTAGCGATTCTAGAGCTGCCATTCGTGCCTTCAGTGTTGGAACTGTGTGCAATAAGGCCAAAAACATACTCGCTAGGTCTCGGCCTTATGTCCCATCGTACATCGTAGGAGCGGCCCGACGTGTGCTAGGCCTAGGACGCAGGCCTTTGGACTTCCCAATAAAGTTTTACCAAACCATAGAGGAATAAAATCAGGCACTCGTAATAAAGGCCACTCGAGATCAGGGCGAAATATTCCTCTGCCAGCTCTTTCCTCACATTGCGATGCGTCTGTTGCAGTAACCGCATTCTTAGGATTATTTAGGCATTCTTGTAACAGTGCATTTGAAATGCCGCGTAGTAACAATTATGCAAGAATGAATTGATGGGTGGATGGATGAAAAAATTTATTGACGTTCTGAAGGACTCCACCCTCATTTTATAGGGGAAGCTTGAACTCGAACTGAAGGTTCACCAGTTGCTCGCGCATGAACTATGGTCTGGTGGTTGAAACATTTTAGGCGGTATGCGGTTAGGTGCAAGCAATGATCGACAGTTTACATCAACCAAGAAATGGGGAGTACAGCCATGGGTAATTTTAACGCGTGAGCATCAAGAAAAACTGTTTCGCTCTTATAACCTCGAAAAACCAGGAACCCATGGGCAGACCGTTGACAGGAGAACATCACTACATTATTTTAAATTTTTGCGAACCTTGCAATCTTGAGGGCTCAACCCAAGAAGTGGGGGAAGGGAGTTGACATTGCGGTTGGATGCCTTGACGCCTGCATTTGCACGCATTGGGGACACTGCACTGCAGCAATACTTCACCCTCTTCACCCCCCCGTAGTACGCCCAGCATTATACAAGATAGGGCACGCCTGTGGTGGCAATGATGAAATCTCATAACACATCGTGGTGCCAAAACGCATATTACAAGAATAGTCCGTGACCCTTGGAAGATAAATATCAAAGGGGACACTTGCAAAGGGTGTCTCCCTTAGCCTAAAATCAAGGAGAGTCATGGTAGGAAGCTACCATGACTCCTTATGAGGAACAAGACAAAAAGCTGGATGCCACTAATGCCACAGAAGCTTAATTGAATAAACATTCTATCAAATTGCATGGCTATTATTATGATATAAAATCTAAAGTTAACTAGTAGAGCGACCCACAAATGGTGAGACATCTTTTTTTCAGCTTTACAAGTTTAGAAGCTCAAGGAGTGCTTTATTATGGTAGGACGACTATGCAAGTCAGTAAAGGTAAATTTCTCAATCTGACGAGCACTGGGATTACGCCGACGTTGCATAAACTTTTATTGCATCATTAACTATGCAAATCAGAAAAGGAGATTTCACTCAAAGTAAGGTTGACAGTCACTCAAAGTAAGGTTGACAGATCTTTTAGAAAGGGAGAAGACTTTGGACATATCATCTGCATAGGTGATCTTCAATTTGGACACAGTACGCTGCTTAGTTTTTAAACACTTTATTTACACTCTGTATTGGTATGTCCTTACAGCTAAAGTTCACAGCAAAGTGTTCGTCAGAGGCACTTCAAAGGTAAGAAGGCAGACACAGCATACAATCCAAGCTACCACATTATATTTTCTTTGGTGCAGAATGCTTGGAGCCCCAATTATGTGCTGCCTCTCACATAAAAGATAAAAAAAACGACTTGAAAGCAGTGCACTCTGGACATAGCTCAGTTGACCAGGCACAGACGTGGGCAGACAGTCGCAGATTGAAGGCACGGACGTGGAACTTGCTCAGTCCAGAGGCACACACTGAAGTACGCTTTGTGGGACAGGCTTGTCGATTGCCTCCAGGTCCACAAAGTCATCTGTGGAAATCGTGGATGAGAATGAGCACATACCAAGAAAATTTTACTCGCAGCTTTGAATCGAGGCAACATTAGAGTTTAGTCATCTCGGGGTACCATGGTTTATAATGAGGTGTCCTATACAGTCAGCTGCATTATATCTCCTTCAGGCACAATGTCTACCTTTCAGAACAAGACATTTCCATGAAAAAGCAATAAAAACATGATTTGGACTCACTTAACCCTCACCAAAATCGGAGAGATTTCACTTGTCTTCAACACGCACGTATTTTTGAAGAAACTAAGCTTTTCTGAAGACATACTCATCATTGCTGAGTGGCTCAACGTGTTATACTCACAGTTGATACCACTAATAGCAAATGACACATGTACTATTTAAAGTCCGACTACTTCTAAATAAATATATCTTGTTACGCCGCATTTCCATGTACTTCCTAAAAAGAATAATTTTATGGTGTGCTTCGCAATATGGTGTGCCTCACAATTAAAGCACAAAAGTTTGACAAGACAACGCATAACAATTCACACCTTGTGGTGACAATGCATGAGGGACAACTTACACCGGCGTTATCGCCACCGTAACCTTTTATTTAGGCATTTCTGCTCATTTAGGAGTTTCTGCGCTGTAACACACAATGTGACACTTTCTATCGTATCACACCCCTATATAATGCCACTGACCTCGTGACCATAGTAATCATGTCATTCTGTTGGAATGTGAATGCATTATTCTGACTTCAAAGACACAGTTGCAGAGGACCAGATTCTAGTACTAGATGCCTTTGATCTCATGAGAGTACAATGAACAGGTAGCTTATTGTGATAAAAACAGAGACATGCACATGTAGGTATATGAGTTCCTGACGTGAATTTTTTCAATGAGAGACAAATAAAGTGCACTACCAAGGATTAGCTGGAGATGGTCATAATATTATTATTACGAATAACCTTGAATGTATGTACCAAAATCGCGATAAGACATGGAGGCATGGCGTAGTGGAGGGCTGTGGAAATTTCAACCGCCAGCCTCAACCATTTCACCTCCATCGAAATGTGACTGCCACGACCGGGATCGAAACCGCGACCTTTGGGTCAACTGCCAAGCACCGAAACCACTGTTCTACTGATGTGGACAGCTAGGGATGGTCAGGTGAAACACTTGCACATGTTCTATCACTAATCTATCATCCTCGTCTTTCGACATTTCCGAAGACTGCACAAATACATATTTACACCAAGTGATAAACTTCAAGGAAAAAAATGATAAGAACTCCTAGGTATCTCGCTTTCCCTGGTGTCGTGACACAGGCAAAGTGAAGGTGAATGTCTGATGCGATGTACTAAACTTTCACAAAAGCGCACCATAAAATCGGACATAGAGCTTGCCAGGTTTGTGGCAGGAGCATAGAAAGCCTCACTATAGGCCAGATGAACGTGTGAACCAAAAGACTAAAATCTGCAACAGCAGCGCTGTCTGCGAGATGCCATTTCGCAGACGACAATTTTTAGCGTCCTGTTTGTACTGGTAATAAGAGAGCCAACAACAGAAAACCAAACAATGAGACACTTGCAACACGCTACATGTCCAGTAAGTGCGAGTCTATTCTCCAAAGGTTTTACTGCATCAATTCTGTACCAACTCGACAAGAGGTACGATAATTTTCGCATCACTATTGGTGTCCAGTGAAATCCTGACAGCAAAAGAAAACTTTGTGCGAGCACATTCGGACGATGTGCACGCACGTTTCCCGTCCCGTCGAGCCGTGTTCCACGGCAGCTCCAGCTGCCGATTTCGCCTACAATGATGCATCATCACCGCGCTGTCTGCCAGCGCGCAAAGGCTGGTGGAATTGCACCACGCTCCACCGTAAACCTCAGCAGTGCTGCGGTGGCTTGCACTCGTATCGTGGCCGGTCCAGCCAAACAAACGGCGCTGCAAGCGCGTTGCCCCGCTGAACGTATGGCACCGCAAGAGTGCACAAAAAACTACATCGATGTTGCCAGCCAAAGATCCCATGAGATTTTACAGTAGTTTTGCCATTCCAGGTTGCCATTCCAGGTTGCCATTTGCAAAAACATTTTTATGACACAAGGTAGTTTTTAGTAACATGTTCCTGCATCAGCATCACCCAGAGTGATTGTGCCAAGATAACACAAGCAAGCACGGCCGTCCACACGCATTACCACAGTGGACAACATTTCTGGAGTGAGCTTATGCTTGCTATGACACTAAATACAATGTCTCCATTTTGAAACAGCCTGAGCACTCAGCCCGGAAAAGTGATTTTTTGAGTGCTCACCTTCCATGTAGCCCAAGTCTAGCACGGGCGGAGGTGGAATCTCTGGGGGCATCGGTGAAACAACCGCCATGCTGCACCTAAGATGCAGCCTTACGCCACGCAGGTCTCTAAATACCTCGAAGTGCTTGTCCTCCAGTTTGAACTCCTCTGGCAAGTCGAAGAAGCCCTCTGTAGAGAAAGCGGAGAAGTGAGGAACACGAAAGGTATAGCTTACCACAAGCAATTTATACAGTTCGCTCAAGAAAGGGACATAGAAGTATAGTACTTCTTCGTTAGGCCCGTGTAAATACTCGCACACTTCAAATATTTGAACGAATATGACAGTATTAGAATTCACATAAATGCAAAGTTATTAAAAATAAATAGACCAGATCTGTATATGTTACAGAAACAGGGTCCATACTTGTTTACATGACAAATTCAAGAGTTTTCAAGGACTTTCAAAGCTATGTGGGCAAAGTTTCAAGGACCACATTGTCCATTGAAAACTCAACACATTTTCAGAGGAGGATAAAGGCTTAAAATAACTAGAATTGATCAAAAAAGGGTAACATCATGGAGCAGATGTCGAAAACATGGCTCCAATAATATTTTCTTACTAGACAACTTTCAATCAGTTTCTGAAACTTGCATAGGTAATCACTTTCATTATGACACAAGTTGCAAACTTTTACTCAGATAGAAAACACTATGAAACAAATTGTGAAATGCCTTGTTGCGTTTGCCGAATGTTGATATCTCTATTCACTATCTTCTGCTGCTTGCTCTTGGCAGTCTTCCTAAGGACGTTTGGCTTGATGATGCACATCAAGTGTTTGTCTCTGCATTTTCTGCATACAAGTCTGCTATAGCTATTAATTGCTCAACAGAAGCTTCTATTTCCCTTTTTTTTTTGTAAGCATTTTGCACATCCTCCTGAATGCAAGATTAATTTTTCTGTTTCCCTTTCTCCTGCTCCTGTCTTTTTAGAGTTTCCAGGAATCCACGATGTCGGTTCCTTGAGGGAGCTGCTGATCTTAATTCTTTTATGATGGGCACACTAGATATTTCACCTGCTACATTGACGGCATCACAAATATTGCGATGTCAAATGTGTAGGCTTGTGCGAATATTCGAATGCTTCGAATATTCGAACGAATAGGTGAGTATTCGGATTCACTTCGATTCGAATTTAAACTATCGAATATTTTCGAAGTATTTGCAATAAACTAATGAATGTACCTGTAAAGGTGGTTTCACTGCAACGTAGTGGTGCAAAACAGTGAAAGCACCTACTCCGGAGAAATTTGCTTTGCCGCAAAGCCCCCCTTCAGATTTAAGAGGGCCCTGCAACACTTACTGAGCATGGTCAGAAAACGCTGCCGATCAATAGTCGAGGTTACCGAAAACACGCGAGGCAAGTTTTATAGCACAGCACGCGCCCTGAAATTGACAATTATTTTTAAAGCTAAACGTTGCTCTCTTCCCACGGCAAATGACACTACAAGCTCAAAAATCACTTGTCACAGCCAAGAAAGAAAACATGGCCCTGGTCACAGTCATTGGCTGATTTGAGCATGGCGCGCTCGTCGTTACCGGACCGCCACGGGAAGCAGCCGCTTGTCCACAAGTACGTGCACAATCGCACTGAAAGGCCACATATTCGAAGAAAAAAGAGAAAAAAATGCTCAAGGTCACTATGCACTCGTGATGTTTTTTTCTTTCCCCGTGCCATCCTTCCCTTCTTAGCTTCCAGCTCTTTTGATGGGTCGAGAATGGAAAATGCGATTGCAGCATGCGACAAATTTTTGGAACTGCGCTCGTACTGGACTGATTCTAGAAACTTGGCAGGCGGTAAATTTGCGAGGCGACAAGCGTGTTTACTGGCTCCATGGATACTTGAAAAAGTGTTGCAGGGCCCCTTTTTACTCTCAAATCAATCCTGATTTCATTAAGCTTGATATGATGCTTTATATGATTTAAGTATACTAAACTTTAAAACGTTATGTATTTTACAGGTTATCACTCGGATCCCACCGAAACTATTAATCAAGGTTGTTTCAACTTCCTTTCAACGAAAAAAAAAAGTCATTTGCATAGAGCCCCTATTTCAATTCAAAAGAAATATCGTGCAGGTTAGTTAGGTTATGATAAATATTCCCTTTTTTATATAGTATACATACTATTCGAATTCGATTTGAAAGTATTTGACCAAAATCACCATTCACTTCGAATTTGCTTCGACCCTGAAATTCACTATTCGCACAAGCCTACAAATGTGTGACAGTGCTTACTAAAGAAAAAAAGAAATTCAAGGATTTTAAGACATTTCCAAAAGTTACACCACTTTCAATGCCTTAAAAGAACTTTTCAAATTCAGGACCTTTGATTATTTGAAGGACCCGCATGAACCCTGAAGAAGAAAGGTAGTAACTGATCAGAACTACTTTAAAATTCAGCTGATTACAGAGGTCAAGTACAGCCCCAAAAAAGTAACGGTCATTATAGAAGCCTAATCAATTACTGTTGCATTACTTTCCTTCAAAAATTTATTTGCATAACATGAAAACACAAGTTAAACATTGCGGCTTGAATGGTCGAGAGGTCTGGAGGCTTGCGTGAAGGCTGGGTGGCTTACCATGGCTGCTGCGATGTAGTGTTGCAGCTTTTTTCAACGAGAGGTGTTATCGAAGTTGTGGTCGCAGATTCTTCAGTGTTTCCTCATTAGGAGCCAAGCTGCTACACTAAGCACTATCTTAATGCATGCGCTAGAGGGGAAGGGTGATGTCACAAAAGAACACCATGCGCACCAGCCTGTGGTTAAGCACTGTTTCGATGCTAGTGTCCATGTCCTCTATGAAGCGTCACGTTTTACTGTTGCTGATGCTCGGGTAATGTGTTGCAGGTAAGACCAATGAAAAAGTGAAAAAAAAAAAAAAAGCTCCGATAGGGGGGCCCCTACAAAGCAATTGCATAAGCTTTGGGACAAAAGCTACTGTAGAAAACTGCTTAAAAGCTTATTTTGGGAAAAAAAAATGTCACTAACTGTAATCAATTACAAGAATGTCATTGAATATTCCAGCATATTACAGTTTCTGAAAATTAACTGATTATATTATAAAATGTAATTGATTACAAGTAATCTAACGTTACTGAGTTATTACAACTCTGGAATGTAACCACACTTAACCCTCCTAGTAAAGATGGCTTCACTGCAGGATAAGGTGCTGTTCTGTGAATCTATAACCAACTATGCAACTCCAAACAAAGCAGGCAGTGTAGCAGTGCTAACAAAGTCATGAAAACCTCGAGTACATTACATCAAAGGACTGGCAAACGACTTCCTTGGCTTTCCCATTGTCTGTCGTTGACTGGGCTGGTGCATACTCCAAGACTTCACTTTGAGAGCTGTCACCACACCCTAATTATCAAGGGAGGCACCCCATACCTTTACTCAGTTGGAAATGCATATACAGTCGTTCCACAAAGGTTTTCCACAGTAACGGCTGCCGAGGACTTACAATACTGCATTCCGAGAACTGCCTACTTCCCCCACCTTTACTCCCGACAAGCTGGAGACCAAAAGGAAGCAGTTCTGAAAAGCAGTACATATAAGTTTTACATCTGTTGTGAGGCTTATCGAGGATTGACCAAACAAAATGAAGGCGGCGGGGGTTGCAATGCAAATATGTTCCTCCCTCCAACGGACAACCATGTACACATCTATGCAGATGTCTGTTTCTCAGAGAAGTGTGCGCCATGCCTGTGATAAGGGCCAGTCCACACACAACTTTGCCACAGTTACAAGAAATTTCTCATATAGGAGTAATCCATGTGTGGCGGGCACCTGGCACACCCCTTCCCATTCGTGGACATGTCGTCTTAAATTTTTTGCCTTCCAAATCTTTCTTGCAAAATTTGTGCAGTTGACTGCACTTGTTAGCAATAGGACGTGACCAGCTTTGCTTCTGTTTTCCAATTTTTGACAAGGTCATCTTACTTGAAAAACCCAGAAGATGCGGGTGGAACCAGCTAAATAAAAAAAAAAATGCAGCTTTCAAACTTTTCAATCCAAAAGCTACAAAACACTTCTGGATAGCAGGCTCATGTTACTAATGTATCTTTTCCGATGCACTTTGTGCTAGACATGATTAAAGTCTTCCAAATGCCAACTCCGCGTAGACCCAAACATGCTCGAAATAGCAACAGATTGCTGCCCTTTGACATTTTTTTATGCTAGCCAGGGCCAGGTGGCAAACCAGAGCTATTCGATTTTCGGACTTGCAAGCTCATTATGAAAATTAAATGTCTTTTGTGTAATGTCAACATTACCTTAATTGTGCTAGCTGCTGCATTCCTAAACACTACTATAAACCTACGGACAATAAAATAAAATGTTTCTTTTTTTAACCCTCATTTGTGACCACTTATTTCACTCAAGGTTGCCATAGCCTTGTTCATGTGTATGCTCTGCCATCTGTCTGCTAAGGCACATGTAAGAAGTTCCATGTGCATGACTAAAGTTATCGCCTTCAACAAAGCACCTTGCCGACAGACTACTGTATCAAAGTGGTGACAGCTATAAATTTACAGTCGCTGGTTGACCTACACAGCATTCAGCAACAAATGCATCATTCTCGCATGAAAGCTTCGGAACAATGTAAAAGCACTTGCCTTCGTCGTCGTACAAATGCATGGCTTCAATCTCCAAGTCTTCTTCATCTGAATCTGCCAGCTCATCCTGAAAAGGCAAGGATGTGTACGACCAGCAAGTCTAAGATGTCGCAAGCTGATACTTGTTAGATGACTGTCTTCAGATACTAAGGAAAGGTATGACGAAGTCGCATAAATAGCATGAAGTGCAGAATAAAAACATTGCACGCTTGCAGAAACTCCATTTCAATCAGCTTGAGCTTGTCCCCCCTTTTCATCAACATTTCCTATATGAAAGCTGAGAAATGAAAAAAATTGGCCCGAATCTACATGTTACACTGTAAATGTCGTCGAAAGACGATAGTCTTGCGTCTGGAGAGAGTGAACAGAATGTTTATTTGATGTTCTGCGCTAGAAAATCGGTAAGTGGTATTCTGCAGGCGCTGCGTTAGAGTGCCTCGAGCGTGTAGCAGAGGCGAAAGAGTGCTTCGAGGCACGTTAGGCACAAGTGCCATCTGGCAGTTACCTTCAAAAATAAAAGCATGCAGCTCATGGAAAAAGATGCGCGCCAGTCTAGGAGGTGATAAGGTGTAGAACGCAAAGCAACGGGAAAGTGCCACCACCGTGACGTCGTAGCAAAGCGTTGGAAACCCTCTTTTGGGCATCGCGTTGCACTGTCAGCGCAGCGCGATTAAACGCTCAATTCCTTAGAGTTACTTGTGTGTGCCTCTTCTAGTATAAAGGCAGACATAGAAAACATCGGAGCGTTGTTGTGGTGCCTCAAATATGCGCAATAATTGTTTTTTAATTGACAATCGCACAACTATGAACGCTTAACCTTGAGCAATATTGGTCGGCGCTGCAGATTGGGACGGCCGTTTGGTGCCGTTTGAGGTATCGTTAGGACGGACAAACAGACGAATGTGCAGACAGACAGACAGACAGACCAAAATTTTTCTGTCGAAGGTCCCCAAGAAAGACTATCGTTTTTAAAAAGCTAAGTTCAAATTGCTAGCAACTTTGGCTCGCATACTCAACAATCCTCTCCTCACTCATCAATTTATACAAACTCATTTTGTGACAAAATTATGATCTTGCAGGAGATAATGCAGACAGAGTACTCTTAATGCTGACTAGCTCAGTTCTGTGTCACTTTTTTTTTTTTCAGTTTGTTTGAAAACTAACTGCTGGCAGCACAGCGGCGATAGATCACATAGATTCATTAATGAACATGCGTATTATGCAGGGGTTCAACAGCTCAATCAGAACTTGGAACAATTTTTAGAACAGCAAAATGTGGCTTTTGAAATTTGGAACAGGTTATGAACAAAAAAAGGCTGTTTTTTACCAAAATAGTTATTCGCATTCTACAGTTAATGTGGAGCAATATGAGCCATAAAGATTCGATGGCATAAAATGTTTGTTTAAAAAAAACTACAGTCGAACCCGTTTATAAGAGACGAATGATACAAGAGGCAAAGGCATAAGAGACACCGTGTGCCTACCGTAAAATACAGGTGGATGAGAAAATGCACATGAGTTACAATTCCTATGAGAGACATTTGCTATAAAAAACAATTGCTGCCCAGAGCATGCCTCTTATAAAGGAGTTCAACTATATACAGTAGACTATCAGTAAACAAATCTGTTATGCGAAACTACAGCTTATACAGAACTATTTGCTCGGCAATGCTTGGTTTTGGCCTTGTATTCTGCACTCATATTCACCTCTCGGTAAACGGCGCTCTTATTATATGGAACATATTTTCCCGGTCCCTTCAGGTTCCGTTTACTGAGAGACTACTGTACTTTGCCCATTGTCAACACACAAAACGAAAACTGCGCAGCCTACTATAAAGAAAAATACAGTTCACTCCTATTAAACAAAAATCTCTTAAATAAAATGCCTGCTTATATGCAACAACTTCCACTAATGTGTTTGGTTCCGTACTTGAATATTGTACCCCTGTTCATCTCTCAGTAAACGAACTCCTCTTAAAGGGAACGCATTTTCCTGGTCCCTTCCGATTTCGTTTAAAGGAAGTTACTGTAATTACATATTTCAAGTCAGCATAAAAGTATATATATATATATATATATACACACACAGCAAAAATTTCATTGCCCTAGGCTACTGATTCACGCAACCTTTTTTTTTTCCGAATCTCATCTCCCCTTAACAGATACAGCATATCCTATTGTTAACTACTAACCTAATGAACTAATCCACTGCTAAATTTGTTTAGGTCCCCCTGAATGCTCTTACTTTGATACCTCCGATTGTTCAATCACCATTGAAAAATGTATATATCAAAAGACTGATGAACAAAACATGAAACTGCAAGTTCTTTTCAGATTCCGCAGCAAACCAAACTACGCTCAAGAGTGCAACAGCACACGATTGCCATCTTTACAGTATCTGTGCCCTGCTTGCTTACCACACTGAGCTCCACGGCTGGGACTGGCACATCAGGGACTGGTTCCAGCCATTCAGGTGCATCGCAGTGAAGATTTACAAACTCAAGCTCGAGTTGGCTTGAAAGTTCTGGAAAAATGAAAGGATGCACAACACTCAAGCACGCCTGATGAAGGAGGACTGGCACGTGTTTTCAAAACTGTGCGCAATCTATTGCACGCTGAGCTGTGCCTTGGTCTCCCTTCAAAACTGCTCAAACAGGTACAGCAGAATTCAAATAATTTGAATCGAGGGGTAACTTGAGCTGCACGGCCAAGTCAACGCAAGGTGGCACTTACCAATAGACAGCTGTGGATCAGGTTCAATAAAAGTGACTGTGTTGGTGAAGTGGCATTTCTAATTATCAAATGAACTTAAAGATATGTCCAGGTGCCTGGATTTTACCTGTGCTCTTTTAGTACCAAAGCCCGATGGTCTCCCGACCATCATGCATTTCTTGCATGTGGAATAAATGCATGCACAATATTCAGATCCACCCAAAAGTTGACAACAATCTCTTCTTCTATCCAAAACAAACGTGAAAACACAAGAATAAAAAAGCCACAAGTGCAGTCGGAGTCGCAAGCACAAAGATTAAGCAATTATTCGTATAGCAACCATCATTGCCATGACAGCTCAACAATCGCAGTGCCAGACTTTGCGCCGGAGGATGCCATGTTTGTGTAACTTGAATGCACTATACTATATTTGCGTAAGTTTAACAGACCTTATATAAACCTCTCCCCTGTCCCCTGTTGTAATGCCAACATATTTTAGGCGACATTCACGGGTAACAATATTCGAATGAATATGACAGTACAGTGAAACCTCGTTAAACTGTACCCGCGTAAACAATAGTTTCGTTTTAAAAGTAGTGACGTAAAATCCCCGACACAGCGGCCATTGAACATAATACATTTTGTATCCGCATAAGTTGTACCAGCTTATCGCGTATGTATCGGTTAATAAGTAGTTTTTCCAATTTTCGTTGCGCACTCGTCGCGGCATGTCGTCCCCAAGAAGGTTATACTAAAGCTTCTGGAGTAGCGGAGAGGCTCCGTGGCTGAAGCCGCCGTACCGCCGTGTTGCTCAGGGCAGAAAGCGTATCGGCGCATTGTAGCGTACTAGGCTTTCGTGTTGTTTTCGTGGTAGTAATGTTGCACATGGTGCCTCTATTTAAAACAAGATGGTTCTGAACACGTCTGTGATCAATTTTCGAGACGACGATGGTAGGCTCTTGGGTAAGAATCGTGGGAAGCCGAACTGGGCACAGCTTTTGATGCTTCGCTCGCTTGCTTTTCCTCACATATTTTCGCAACTACAACTGCATTTACAAGTACATAGATTTTATTTTTGCATCCAGGAGCACATAGACAATTTCAATATTTTTTGTGCGTTTCAGGATTCCAAAGACATCATATTGCGTGGCACATGAGAGTGCGCTTTGAGGCGAAAAGGTTAAGCGCCAAAAAAGAATGACGACTTATTGTGTTCAGCACACATGTTGAAGCAGGCTGCTTCGATGAGACAGGGTAAACAACGATACGAAGGGCTTGTAACATTACTACCGTGCTTGCATCGTTTTCAGGCGCATTTACAAAAGCCAGTACGTGAGTGTGCCTATAATACAAGTAAGCGCTTTGTTATTGAAAGGAGTTATGATAGCACCGGCTCTGCATTCCTGGGATTTTCAGTTTCTTGTATTTGCATGAGCACTACGCTCCCAATGACAAAGTTTCTGATGTTGTGATATGCCTCTCTTTATGTAGGAGAAAAAGGAAACTAGCTCCTGCGAAAACTCAAGGGAAATAAACACTTTCGCCTAAAGCGCCTCTTGTTGATGGAGCTGTCAATTTCTCCCCTCTTCCAACCCTCCCAAGTGGTGCAGGCAAAAAAAAAACTGAATTAACAGCTGAAAAAAAAGGGTAAGACATCGTTGCAGTACCAATGGGGCCTTTTAAAATGTCTATATTGAGGCTTTTCAGAATTTCATTGACAAGATAATGAAGGAAAACAATTATTAAGATGAAAGATTGGAAGTTCTCCAAGCAGCGTTTCCTCCGGATATCCAGGATCTTTCAAACAAGTTCGTGAAAATGCGAATACCCCCTCCCCCCATATAAATAGAGTTCGCACACATGATGCACTGTTATTCGCCAAGGGCTCATGGTTGTGTGCGAGTGGAACTTTTAATTTCGCTGCATCTCCTCACTGGTTACTTCTGCTGTGAGGCAACTGTGTAAACATATATTGCGAATTGATATCCCTGAGTACCTCTTTTTCACAGCGAAAGCTGTAATAAGATCAGAACACGGGTCACGCGCAGCGCCGTAGTTGTCCGCCGCTGCCTGTCACCAGTATTGTATGAAAAAAACTCCGTAAATAAAAAAAAACATAACACAATGAGATTTCAGCGCGGATCCGCTGCGTGCCTGCCTAGTATTCTACCACTGAGCCAAGCTAGTGCTTGGTACTTGTTTCTAAACTGGCCTTAAGAAGGCGTGATGTTGGGAAAGGAATAGCGTTAATATTGATACGCAACAGCCGGCACAGCCTGTCTGGAAGAAAGAGAAAGACGACGTTGGTGGCTGGTTGTTGATGAACTGTCGCCATCTTGTTCGCCGAGCTCAGTGCATCGTATTTAATTTATTAAATAAGTTACCCGTAACATTATTGGTGGAGGTGCGGGGTAACTTATTTAATAAATTACATGGTGGCACCAATTCATGCCGTGATGCTTACGCATGGCGTCGCTGTTCCGCACACCATTTTGACAATCGTTGAAAACCGCACATGCCTTCCTATTGTCAATTTTGCCCTCACTGCCCAAATTCTTCCACAAAGTATCTCCCTGGCTGAAATTACTGCTCTACAAGACCATACGGTTGAACTCTTCAGAGTGGATGATTGCTGCACCTCAGACAATGAACCAACTCTATCACGTTCATCGGGCGTCGACGTTGACCACATGGTACAATCAGACCTCGCTCCTGATCAAGCGGAAGCCCTTCGTCACGTCCTGGAGTCCTATAGTGACATTTTCGACTTCGCCAGCACGGCTTTAAGCCGAACGAGTGTTGTTACTCATCGCATCAATACCGGTGACGCGAGTCCCATTCACCAACGTCCATACCGTGTTTCCGCGTCCGAGCACACAGTCATACAACAGGAAGTGAAAAGATGCTTGCAAAAGACATAATCGAACCCTCTTGTAGCCCCTGGGCTTCTCCTGTCGTCTTGATCAGAAAGAAGGATGGAACATGGTGCTTTTGTGTAGATTATAGGCATCTCAACAAAATTACGAAGAAAGATGTTTATCCGTTGCCTAGAATCGACGATGCCTTAGACTGCCTTTACGGTGCTACGTATTTTTCCACTATCGACCTTCGATCTGGCTATTGGCAGATCGCTGTGGATGAGATGGACCGTGAGAAGACCGCATTCGTCACTCCTGACGGGCTTTATCACTTCAAAGTTATGCCCTTTGGTCTCTGTAATGCGCCGGCCACATTCGAAAGAATGATGGACTCATTGCTCCAAGGGTTTAAATAGTCAACCTGCTTATGTTATTTAGACGACATTATCGTTTTCTCGCCCACATTCAACTCCCATCTCAAGCGTTTATCGGCGATTCTTGAAGTTTTTCGTCGAGCCGAACTTCAACTGAACTCGTCGAAATGCCACTTTGCTCGTCGTCAAATAACAGTACTTGGCCACATCGTCGATGCCGCAGGAGTCCACCCGGATCCCGAGAAAATTCGCGCCGTCACGAACTTTCCTGTTCCGAAGTCAACAAAGGACGTTCGCAGTTTTGTGGGCTTGTGCTCCTACTTTCGACGGTTTGTTAAGGACTTCGCCATCATTGCACGCCCACTCACAAACCTCCTGAAGAAGGACACCCCATTTTTCTGGGGCGCTGATCAAGCCTCATCTTTTTCCCAGCTCACGACGCTCCTTACAACACCACCGATTTCAGCCCATTTCGATCCATCTGCTCCAACTGAGGTTCGCACTGACGCTAGTGGGCATGGCATCGGGGCAATGCTAATGCAACATCAACGCGGACATGACCGTGTTCAGCGGAGATGAGAGATCAGGAGAAGACGAAAGTTAGCGCCAGAGCGCGTAGGGTATCCCGCCATGTAGTCGGCGAAAGTTTTGTCCGCAGAGAGAAAGCCGGAGAAGAAGAAGAGGATTTCCACCTGAAGGGTGAAGGCTCGAGCTACAGGCAAGAGCGTGTGTCTACCGCTATCGAGCGAAGACGCGTGGCAACAGCTGCGTGTGTGAAGCCGACGTGTTTCCGGCGAAGAAGTTGGAAGCTTGGAGAGAGGCCAACTGAAGACGCGAGGTTTCCTGGAAGAGAAACTTCAGGGGCAGCGGAACGACAACAACGCTGGACTTTGAGTGAGTGATTCTCGGAAGAGTATCATCCAGACTTTTGTTCCAAGAACTTTGGACTGAATAGGTTTTTTTTTTATCTCTTTAGTCTTTAAGTGTCTTGGTTGTTCAATGCATGCGACTGCATTGTAGTGCGTATTGTTGTCTGTGTCCGTTGTTTCGAGTGTGGCTGATTGTACTGTGTAGTACGTCGTTTGATTGGCGACATATTGTATGCAACTATTATGGAGTGTGCATTCTTGTGTATTGTTTTCGATCTGCCATTATTGAGAATATAATTTTGTTTGTTTATAAACTCTCGGCTCTGACTTGTTCTTTGGGCTACAGCCGGCGTCCGCTGGCGCGCCAAAAAGGACCACTTCTAAATTGTCCACGCTTTCAGTGGTGCGGTTCGGGGGGCCGATACTTCGGCCCTTGGAATTAGCCCGGCGATCGCCTCCCTAATTAACGGGACCTGTGTGACACCCTACCAGCTGGATTCCTTCAGCCGATCGACATTCCCATTCAACCTTTTTTTCGAGTTGGCCTCGACCTGCTTGGCTCATTCCCGATCTCCAGATCAGGCAACCAATGGATCGCTGTCGCCACTGACTATGCGACACGGTACGCTATCACACGAGCACTTCCTACGAGTTGCGCAACCGATGTGGCGGACTTTCTGGTATATGATATTATTTGAGCTCCACGCCAAC